CATGTGCCCTTGTGATTTTTCGCAGCCATAAGCCTGTGAGCCATGCGTATGGATTTGATTTCGTATAGCATAGTGCACACAATGCGTTCCTTTTCTACTCGTTTATTCTGTAATATGGTAGATCTCGTTTGGAAACCGCAGCTAAAGACGCTACCGTTCGTTGGCCCCCTACCTACCGTGCCAGATCACGTTTCAGTAATGCACGAGATGTTGTGCTTATATTATTTACAGAAGCTCGTTGTGGTTCGCTAGTGGTTGGTGACAAGTTGCTTGCTAGAAATAACTGGCTTGATAGTCGAGTCGATTTAATTACGACTGCGTTTAACTACGATTAGCTTCGAAGCTCGACTGAGAATGAACAGTCGCACGGAAGCCAGGCGTAATGTTAGGAGATCGCCAACATTCCGCGGTCGCAATCACTGTAAAATGACACGCCGCTGCCGACGAGTATTTAACGAAATAATTAACCCAGGAAAAATAATCTATTAATGATTAATATTGACTCGTAACAATAACCTTTTCTATGTGCGTTTATATTTAAGTAGCTAGCTACATACGCACACGCACTCACGCACAAACGCGCGCGCGCATGCACGCACGCACGCACGCACGCGCGCGCATACTCTACCACACGTACGCCCGCACCCACGGATGCACTTACATTGAGTACTGGTGACCTGTTCGTCGGCAGCGACCATCCGACTGAGAATGACGTCAGTTAGATTATTCAATTCATTAGTATTTAGCTGCTGCGGGCAATACGACGGAGCCACTGAAATCTGCGGCTTGCACACACAGTTGCAATCCTTCGTGCTTCCATGCGATGCAAAGTCCGTAGCCCCAGCGAGTTGGTGCACACTTCCTGTTACCCAATCTGAATCCTGAAAGATTCCAGTGGGGCCTTGGATGTTATCCATACCTCCGGCGGGACCGTGAACACTTTCCGTGCTCCGCGAGGGAGCCAGGGTAAACGACGGCTCCGTCCCCGGAGAAATGTCCCCACGCGAACTCTTCCCACCATCACCGACTGCGTTGATAGCTTTACTTGACGTGAAACCGAGGAAGCTAGCTATCAATACTCCGCGGAGAAACACGTGCACTCTCATCTAGTTGTGAGTGCGGGAAAACGGCAATGAGGCAGCAGTCGAGTCGGTTTCAGACGTTCGAGCGGTGTCGACTGATCAGCGATGCTTGGTCGGACTAGATCTCTCGTCTGTTGTGTTGGCCCGGTGTGTGTAGTATGCGCGCGTGCATAGGTACGCGCGGATGCTATAGTTCCTCAGGTGCGGCTTTCGTCTTACTTCTGGGAAACGGATTTGTGGTAGGGGAAAGCACATGCACTGGGTACACTCGATCGCTCACTATATAAAACATCACAATCGATGTACGATCGAGGAGTATTCCTTTGGGTTAATCGCGTTACTTAGGCGGGTTTCTACGCTTGTCCTTCGAGCAAGCACCGCCAGCAGCTAACGTGATGCACGATCAGTGCGCTATAGGATTGGTGACAGGTCAAATTAAGCGTCTGCAAGGAAATCATTCAGACGGCGTCATTTCATGGCGGCGTGCAAGAATTGTCAACGGTGATGGGCATTGGCGCTGCTGCTCCCGACTATTGCACACTGCGAGGTAGCCCCTCCTGCGCGTAGGAATATCTACCCGCACACCTCTACAGCCTACTAAAGATTCGCTTATGTCGTTATGTTATGCTGTATACTATGCGAAAAAAATCACCAGACCGCTCCTATGTTTTGCGGGCCTACCACGCAACCGTAGATAATTTCCATTGGCCTATTTCCTGGCGTACTTCCGATAGCTTGCGATAGCTATAGCTGTGCTTTGCTTTCGTGTGGTCTTGTATCAGAATCACCAAAGCAATTTTCAATGCAATCCTATATATATGACGTGCATATGCGGGGTAATACATAGTGTTCTATGCGTAAAGTAAAACATTCCGTTATTGCCATTAGGAACTGCTTTAGATAGACTATTATGTAGGTAAAATTATGCTGCAGTAATCGTTACAAAGGCCAAATTACAACGGCTGTTTAAATGCAGTAAGTGATGATAGAAATGGCACCAGTCTGTGCTTGCAAGTGCGTTCGAGCTGGTATGCATGCACAGGAATAACAATGTCCACTAACCATTAACCTTTGTCTAATTTACTATATTTATTACCGTCTCGCAAAAGCACGCACGCAATCAACAACAACCAAATTTTGAACAGGAATAACAATGCACTATAGCCATTACCTTTTTCTAATTTACTATTTTTGTTACCGTTTCGCAAAACCACGCACGCAATCAACGCCAACCAAATTTACAACAGCTATAAACCATAATAGCATAATAACAGCTACAATCCTACATAGCAGAACGCTACTCCGATGGCGGATAATACTAGTAAAAGTAATACGTATAGGAAAGTCGTGCAGTCTAAAAATATGCACGGGCCGCAGTACACGCGCGATTACATCCGGTGTTGCCGGTGTCCGATGCTTTCCAAACGTTGTGTCGCTACATTATGGTGACCCAAATGTCGCAACAAGTTATGTAAAAACGCATATTGATGTAAAAATGTCCCCGATAGAAGCGAATCAAACCGACCCTAACCCTAACCCATTTCCGCTAAATTATGCCGGTTTTCACGCTCTGCACTGCAGGTCGAATGCACGTAGAAGGCTTGAGCAGCATATAAACAGAAATAGCTTAGCCTATGCATAATGTTGCGCACAGATACCCTTCAATATTGCATGGAATCAATGACGGCGTTTGATGGCATGTGCTTTTAGAACTGTCGTTATTTACACTGTTACAGTAATAGGCTGCTCGCCTAACTCGTTACCTCGCTCCCTGCCTCAATCTCTCCCGTTCCCTTTCCCTCTCTCGTTCTATCTGCCTCTGGCACTCTCTCCCATCCTACGCGACCGACTGATCTCAGCCCTCGCTGTCTTCCCTTCGCATCCTCACGTCGCTCTATTACTCGCGCAGTTTCATGCAGCTATATATGATTATTGATCGTCATCTTATTACATGAACAGGTGCAAGTTGCATTACCAAACAGCTAGACATCCTTGCCGTACACGCATTTGAGCTTTTATTGCTCATCCATAGGCTAGGCTTCGCCCTACCCTACTCCACTCTACTCTGCTGTACGGCTTCCTAACTCATCTGCTACCTATCAACGCTCGTTATATAGGGGGACTCATTCGTCGGATTTGTTTTTGTAGAACATAAATGCAAGCGTGGATTCATCCCGTACAGTGACTGCTCCGGGGATGAAATACTCGATGTTCTATTATCGCCAAACACGTAAGCACGCTAGCACGGCTTCAAAGTGCCCACTCCACGCACGAATGCGCTTTCTCTCCTGCATTCTAGAAAACGTGCCCAAATGTGACAGTGGGGGAAGGTACAAGAAAGAAAATACAACGGGGCCACGTGACACGGGTGCGATCACGCACACCGGCGTCCCGAGAGCGAAATTTTGACATCTGAACTCTGAAGGTGGCCCTAAACACCCTAAGTACTCGTGTATTAGTAACGGCAACTCCCGACTTTAACCAGACCAACCCCATGCATGCTAATGTAGAGTAGAGATTAGTAGAGCTTCATCACACCAAAAGACAGGGGAATCCTTTAGATTACGATTAAAGCAGCAAATTTTGCATACATTTGCGTTAACAGGTTTCTAATAAAAAGAAGAGGTGAACACCAACGAAACGGAGCTTTTTTATGAGACCGTCGTGAAATTCTACATTTCTTAATCTTTGCTCACATTTCCACTTCTAGATTTTTTAGTAGTTTTAAATGTTCTACCAATGTTTTTGGACACTAGGAATCGATTCGGATAAAATTACCATTTCCTGTTATTAGATAATTACGGCCATTTATATATTTAAAAAAAACCATCACATAAATACGAAAGACCGAAATACAAATTCCCCGGACCAGCTTATCTGGATATACACAAAATAGTCGCTAAGAGATCGCCAATATCTCTAAAAAATGGTAGTAGTGACTGGCAGTGCTAAGGCACTAATAACAAACTCTTCAGCGACTCATTCTAATAGAAGTAAGTGCATTATTTGTGAGATGGATAAGGAAAAGCAATGTGACACATTCCTTCGTCGATTAGATCAACTAGGTCACAGTCAGGGACTAAGAAGGCTTGTAATAAGGTGACCCGTTTTCGCAGTGTCGCAGATTTCCCATATCTGCCTGTAATGGGCCAGGCATGGTTTTCATGGCCATAGGACAGTCCGACACAATAACATTTTCGCTGCACAACTGGCACTAAATGTACAATTAAGAGGATAAGTAAAGAACCATTCGTCTTTAGTGACGCTGCCTTATGTGCTGGCATCTGCTGTATACCTTCGCGATCATGGTAGTAAACATTGCATGATTGTTTTCTCCGTATTGTTTGTCAGTGGTTTCCTAAACCAGTAAAGTAAATCCCGCACAAATGTGTCATATTATGCCTGTCAGATTGGCTGTACCCTTTGCAGGGTCTGAAGTAGTTCTCGCAAGATCTTTCCATAATCAAGGAATGCGATGACTGTGTCATGTATGTGTATGTGTATGAGTATGAAGAGTTCCTTTCTACTAAATCGAAATAATAAAATACCGTCGTACAGATAAACTTCTAACCTGATAGGCTACTTTCAGGGCCGTAGCCTGCGGGGGGGAGGGGGGGCAGCTGCCCCCTAGATTTTGGAGCAAAATTAAAAAAATACATTGTTCTACTAAAAGAGAATTGTCGTAGTCAGAATGAAGGCTGTACATGTATTCAAAAGTGCCTCAAATACCATCTCCTGCAATCTACATTTTCAAAATTTTCTCTGGGAGGACCCCCAGACCCCCACCTGTTTCTCACCCCCTTCTTGAAATCCTGGATCGGCCACTGCCCCACCCCCCCGCCTAGGAATTTGGTCCGCCTACGGCTCTGACTTTCTAGGCACAAATTTGGAATAGACGATATGATTTTGCATGATCAGATGTATTGGAATGTATATAAACACACAACATAACACATAATTTTCCTTCAGTCTTTGATGGGAAAGGAGATATAGTGCAACTCTTCTATTGCGTGCTAAAATTTAAACCGGAAGCTTATACTCCCATATCAGTTTCATATAGATTCTATGCCCCACTCAACAAAGTCATGAAGATTATGAGTACTTACTGTATGAAAAATGTTTTGAACTGATCACTGCTTTTAAAAGTTAACAGATGAGAAGATAATAATTAACAGATGCTCATCCTGTTCACTGTTGTTGAAGATGTGTATTATGACCTCGATATATCCTAGATAATAAGACCTTATGTACAAATATGAAAGACTGAGAGAAAGAGCGAAAGAGACAGAAAGAGAGAGAGAGAGAGAAAAAAAAAGAGAGAGAGAGAGAGAGAGAGAGAGATTCATTCAGTCATAAGACAACTCTATATTCCCTCCTCATTCTGAAACTGGTGTGTAGGCGTTGATCTCAGCAAATGCTCTTGCCTTGCGTGAGTACTGTACTGAGGAGTTACATGCTGAGTAGTATTTTGTTTGCACCTGTAAAGAATAAAAATTCTCTCTCAGGCAAATCGTAACATGCACTGACACTATAATTACTTACTTATATACTGCACACTATGATGAATATTGCACAATACAATTCTTTACCCGTTGTAGTAATCTCATGGCATCTTTGTATTCCTTTGAGGATGGGTGCTTGTCCATAATGCTATCTAAATTCATATCCTGTGATGGTGCAAATGTTTGTGTTGCCAGAACTTCTTGTGTCCTCTCAAACTTGTTGACCAGGTCGCCAGGACACTGAAAGTTGGTAAACATAGCATTACTCAGGTTAAGCATAAAGTTGATAAACCTCGCAGCTAAATGCATATATATACCTACTGTGAGCTTGCATATGTTGCAAAAATTCACTACAACTCATTTGTATTGCTATGCCTTCATAACATTTCTTCTCAAAATCTAAACGAAATTACTTCTCTTATGGCCCCGTCACACATACGCGATGCACGGCCCGCCCATTAATGAAAGTGTCAATGACACTGTAGCTCACCACAAAAAAGGACACACCCGAAATTGACTGCAGTAGGCGCGGAGACGAGTGGCAGGCTGGTTTGCAGGTCGCTCGGGACAGACAACCAACTCACGACGTGAAGCAGTTATGAAAGACTTGGGGCAGTCTGTGTCATATGACCGCAGATAATAGATTTATACGAACAAACACAAAAATACATCACAGGCAACTTGGTGTGACGGGGGTAAGATGCGTGCCTGATATCGCTTTGTAGCGGGGATGGCGGCGCTGTGGCGCACAACAATAAGAGTACAAGCGTTGATCCTGGCGTTGCTGACACATATCTGTTTCTCGAAACTCGTTCTACAGTCCCTACATGTACGGGACGAGTGTTGCTACGGTCGAGAATAAGAAATACCAATGTTGGGCATTAAAGATATTTCATGGAAATCTTTAAACGAACCAGACGAGTGTGACAACCTCACAAGACTGTTTGTGTTTATATAATAGTGCTATAATTGCCACACCTACCTAATTTTGCAATTCTTTTTTTGTAAATAATCAAAAACCTGCTAAGCCATTATTCATTCACCACATCCCCAAATGAGGCAAAATCCGTTGAATCCTGAACTGACTAATTGCGAAATTCCGCATTTTTGCCAAAAATAAACATTGGTGTGCGATAATACGACTCGACTGGCGTGTATCAAAATAGGACGCTTCATATGGGAGCAGTAAGGCAGTAACAACTACAGCCGCAAATTTCAAAGCTGTTCCAAGACAAGTTGCGTCTCCGAGGTGAGTATCGTTGGACCCACGAAAAGACGAACAAAATGGTTGACGACCAGAAGCCGGGGGACCCGACGTACGAGCGCGGGACCGCGCCGACCCATTGCAATCAGCTCAAAGGTGCCTTGACCGATGTCAAGGAGAGCTAAAGAAAACTGCTACTCAAAAAAAAATTTGGTGGAACAATAAAGCATCAAGTGGGAAGTCGTTGTGCGCCGAGACGACTTGTTGTCGACAATTTGGGACCCGTGGAAGGCTAGCGAGTTGACAACGAAATCACAAGGCCTGATTGCTAGCGCGCTGGCGCCGGTAATAAGGGGCACCAAATAACACGAGCGTATAGCAGGTGCACACCTGTTAAAAAATGGCGCAAACGGGAAAAAAAAAATGCACGTGCCGCCGCATGCACCGCGCATTCCACCCGCACACAGGGCCAGCAAAACGATCAAGGTCAGCGAAACCAAAACAGGTCAGGGGATATCTGGTGTTGTGGTGAGGCGGGCAGGCCGCTGCCGCTCACGCGCCATTAGGGTCACAGTTGCGAGTGATAACTTGTCCGCAGACACAGGGCAAGATGTGCGCGCAGAGTGAGGGCAATTAAGCTTCAAGGCGCAGGGTCAGGGGGCCTCTCTGTAGGTTGTATTACTCTTGGTGATCCTCGGACGCCATTCTGGTTAGCAGCGTCGTCAGAATCATCTTTTTCGGGGGGCCATGCCCACATGACAGTCTTGAAAGCTGCCTGTGCTCGTTACGAAGTTCAACAAGTAGCTGGTCATAGCAGGCCAAACTGGTCGTTCACTCCTACCGATCTACGGTTGTACCCAGAACCCCGGCGTTGACGCGCTCTTCTCTTTCTCCTTTGCTGCCTGATGACAGGACTTGGTGAAGTGCAGTTCCATGAGGTTTCTGCTTGATGTTGAGTATTGTAGTTGCAGCCTGTCGGGATCCTTGCCATCTTCCTGAGGTGGTGTCTTGCGTACCGACAGCGATCAGCAGGAACTCTGTCATCAGCCCATGAGGGGTTCGAGAGATGAAGTGACTGATGAGGAGGTGGGGCGGGACCGCGTTTATATACCATGGCTACACGCTAAGCACATGCTAGAAGATACGCTGGGGCCGCTACAGACCGCGCACGCTCGTTCAGCAGCTCGTGCAGTCACGCCCATGATTCGGCTGGCCATGTTCGGCTGAACATGCGTTAGAAGCACGCTAGGGTGTGCGCTAGTGGCGCTGTACACCCTCAGCCGACGAAACATACCAAGCGAATAGCCCGCAGCGTGTGCTTCGGCGTGTGTCGTGGCGTTGGTCCCAGAGCGCTGCTGTGCGGTCCTGGCGTGCCTTCTGGGGCGTGTACATTCATCGCGTCGAGGCTCTGCGCGACCATTTTTGTGCATGCATCAAAAATCACCGGACGCAAAGCCACAAGCGAATGACAATAAATGGCATAGCGTTGGTGCCAGCGCGCGTCCGACGAACGAGTAAGAATGCTTGACGCGAACACGCCCACACGAAAAACAACGGCACTGGCCAAAATTGGCTAATTATTTCCAAGCGTCGTGTATGTTCTGACTGGGGCCATTACGAACGTATAGGAAACAAACAGTAAATGTTTACACTCAGGACAACAGCGAAGGCGATCGGTGCCCGACGCCTCAAATTAACAGTTCTCTTCTCATCCGATAAAAAAAGCCACACCTTATACATTCATTATTTCGATGTTGTATCTCATACAAAGATGTGAAATTTGTTTAAAATGCATATCGGGGTTATCTAGTATCTAGGCTTATGCAGCCAAAAGAACAATGATATGTGTTTCCGTTGCGGCAGAATATAGCAACTACAACAAAAGTGTACGCGCTAACTAGGGCTACAACTGCTAGCATGTGACTAACAAAAAGCCAGGCGTCCGGCACCCGCGATTTTCAAAATAAGTTTAACTTCAGGAGCACATCTCCTGGGGCTCCAATGAGAAACATTTCAATGATGTTTGCACCAGCATGCAGTAACTGGCTCACAGTAGGTCCTATATATAGGCTTTTTGTTGTGAGGTTTATCCATTTCAAAGAGACAATGTCACTCAGCATGGTCTTATGCAGATACGCAACAGCAGGCAACGTCCACTACCTAGCTGATCATCGCCTATGCATACCTTGGCAAAATTAAGATAGCTGTATATATAATGCTGCATAGCGGTTTCTATGTCCCCCAGGGTACTGGCCGGAACGTACCCTGCGGTACTCGTCCGGTATAACGCCGGAACGTACCCTAAGTAACTATCTAAATATGGCCGCGACGCAGTACGCTCGCCTACTCCGAACCGTACCCCTGCACTTTCAGGCACCGTGTCGTGAATACATTCCCGCTTGTCGGCAGGAAATGCGCCGCATTATGCTCCCGTTCCGTTCCCGCAAAATATTTGTAACCCTGTCCGTTAATTACCCTGTTACGTTTCACCTCCCGTCTAGTCTAGTGTCTCCTGTCTAGTGTCAGCAAGTCTATACGTTTTCAACCCATCAAGATAATCATACAAATTTTCCTGTTCCACCACAACACTTGGAGCCATCTTTCAAAAATCTCGCGCGAAAATGCGCAAAAATGTCATAAACATTGCGAAAGGAAAACACATTCCCGATCATCGCGATATTTGCAAAAGGATTGCGCGCATCAGTGTATATAGGTTGAAATTTCTTGGTTTCACAGTTTCATACTCCAATCCAACTTTATAAAGATATCATACAGGTCTGTATGTATATTTTAAATTTTGCGACATCAGTAGTGGGCGGAACAGGGACAGTCAGGGTACGGTAGGGAGTAAGCGAGGTACGGTCCGGCATATCAGATAGTTACCAGGGTACGTTCCGGTATACCGGACCGTAACCAGGGTACGTTCCGGCAGTACCCTGGGGGACATAGACCCTATCAGCGTTATTAATAATGCTAGCTAACCTGCTGTTGATGATAAGATGGCTGCCTTGGCTGATGACTGCAGGTCACATGGGGATGATCAGGAGCATAGTTGAATGTCATTATCTCAGTAATCTCAGTACCTGCGGTGTAAAAGAAGAAACCAGCAATCAGCAACGTAATTTTGTACTAAACCGGTCGGGTTAAGTGCACAGCTGAATAGTGGTAATTACCACGATGTACATTGTGGCCACACATTGAAGTATTACTGACAGCACTAACTGAGATGGGACCTATTAATTCATGTAAAGCATGTACTGTACATTGCAAAAAAACAGGACATATGCAGGGTGCTATGGCACCTCGAAAATCTGAGCTGCAGAATGCATATCATACAAGAAATATTTAAACAGCCTACAGATTTCAAAATTTTACTTCTAAAATTTTAACTGCAATTGTAGATTTTTACATCCACATAGGTATAAGCAAAGAGGTATAGGCTCTTTGGTATAAGTGTTTGTACTGCCCCCACAACATTTCAATTGGATAATGATGAAATGCAGTTCATTTTACCATTTTTATTCACATGATGTACACAAACTTTGATACACACGACAGAATTGATATATTTTTAAGAATAGATAGATATATGCAGCGAGAGAAAGAGAGACAAAAGATATGATAGTCTATACACAAAGGTTTTGGATGTGATCGACGTCACGAGTCATGTGAAAATTCGGCTCAGCATATTGGCCTGATGCTAGTTCGAGGAGTGGTGTCATGGCGTCTGGTGACTTCAGCTATTGCATGGACACTAAGAGCTATCCAGTTAGTATATAGAGATCAGTGGTCTTGATATTTATTGTTAGTCTATGATATAATAAATAGAGGCCGCCTCATATGACAAATTAGGATGCCGCAGCGCCACCATATTGCAAAATTAATTTTTGGCACACATACTGCTGAGTGCTAATAAAAAATACACCATTATTGTTCAAAATAATGACCTGCTGTGCATTTGGGCGCTCAAAACTATTTGAGTTGTAAAAGTTGTTATTTATTATGCGCCATAGAACTACAATCTGCTATGAGCATGAGAAAAGTAAATATACTATCCGTACCGAATAACGAGTTTTACAGTATGCATTACAGATTGAGCAAAAACATATTGACATTAAATGCAAATGCATCCAAATAGATTTTTATGTTAAATTTTTTGCATGACTTTAGTTGAGAAATAACAAGCATCTATAGCAAAAGTATCATATCAAAGCAAAAGTATTAATTTAATACGTAGTAGATATTAAAATGATTAGGCTCAGGGCAGGGGTTTGGGTAATTTTTAGTTATATGCTTTCTACGCATTCTTCTTACACTTACCTCCTCCACCAAGCACTTCTTATCTCTCTCTTCCCTCCTCCTACTGCAGCTTATGCTTCTATTTTTCTCTACATATGTAATATCACGTAATTTTATACAAGACAAAAGCCATATGGGCTATAAAAAGCACATCTGATATACCTGAATACTTTTCAGGGGATATCTCCTTTCCAGAAATACATTCTATCTGGTCTTGTTTCAACATTAAAGATTTATCTGGCACTGAATGAATTTTCTTTTTCACCTACAAATGATTTATATCTAATTAAAAGACCAGAACAGCAATAATGTGGCCATACCAGTACTTACAGACAGCGCTACTAAAACCAAACCTGTATATAATCCTTCACTACGTATATAGAGTATAAAAGCGAGTATATTCCATACTGTTGTTTTCACTGTTGAACTGCTGCTCAAGGGCGGCAGCATACATATCCTTTACAGACAGGTGTTATATTCTATGAAAATCACCACTAATACAGGGCTGAGTGCAATTATCGTACATATAGGCATTCTTCAATTATGTTTTTTAAATTTCAGTATTTAGTTTTGCTAGTGGTTAATTTAATATATAATGACTTGAGCCTAAAATACATTTCAAACCTAAATACTAAACCGCCAACATATATGGTACATGCAAAGAGAGATAGTACGTTACCTATCATGCTTAGAATTCGTGTAGCATATACAAATTATAAGATTGATAATAATTGCATTAAAGATAAAGAGCAAATTGATGTAGCATAATAACTATACGACGCACCTGTCTGCTCATCACATTCCGTGTCTGTAGATGTACCCTTGACTCTGGCATTGGCTTCTCCCTAAATATATTAGTAAAAAAATGTATATTAGTTAAATTGAGTAAAAACGAGGGAAAATATGTGTCAAACTCATTTGTGATTATTTACGCCTGATATATGTATATATATCTGCTCATCGTTAATTAGAGCATACAAAATATTATGTAAATACGCTGAAATTCGTATTATTGTAGTAAAATCTGTTAACAACAGTAGGTTTTATTAGTAGTAAGTAGGTATTTTGTGTACTATATTAATGAATTTACAATGCTTGTTTGTGCCAATAGTCGTATTTGTATGACTGTTATGCCACAACCAAGAAAATGTAGTGTGTATAGAAACATTTATGACTACTACCCATTATGGAATAGTTTTTAAACTACAGAAAGTAATTTTTACGATATATATTTTTGTATACCAAGTTGAGGTGACTGTAACTGTAAGAAAGACTAAGCAAGTACTTGAAAGAGCAAAGCTGCATGTCGATGTCTATGTGACAACAATTTGTATTGTTTTGCTCAAATTATTTTGTGTTAAAAATAACATGATGTATTTAAACAGTGCAACAAAAGGATGCCTGGTGAAGGTATATATAGCAAGCTGATGTTGTATATATAGTGCAGTGGCCGAAGCTGAAAAAGGGCTCTATTTAAGGAGATACCCCTACCAGAGGTATAACAAGACGGGACTGGTCTCATTTTAACCGTCTGGATCCCTAGTTTATGAAAAGCCATGTTGTAGTTGCAGCAACCTTGGCCAACATACGGTAAAATCTGAAAAAATGACATTTTCAGTTACTTGCTTATTTTATGAAATCAGCCCCATTACATTTTATAATTAATGGTTATATCAATGAATTTCATTGAAATAGATATGTAGCAATGTATTTGAGGCAGTTTTATGCTGCTAAGGGGGTATTCATGGGCCTAGATGTGCTAATGATAAAAAAAAAATCTGTTTCAGCATAGTAAACGGGTACAACATGGTACATTAACCCCTTGTTTGCGATAGATCTTAAAACTAACTTTTCAGTTTACTTGCATATTTTATAAAATCAGCCATGCAGATGTTTAGAACTGATGGTTATATCAATGTTTTTGATTGAAATATAGATGAAGAAATGCATTTGAGGGAGTTCTATGCTGTTAAGGGGCCAAAAATATACCAAAAGATCTGGCAAATTTTGATAATTTTGACCATAATAAAGAACGTTTCCATGCATACTGCCACCAATACATGGTACAACAGTATTATAGGTCTACCTGCCTGAAGGCCTATCCATCAGTCTGGGTGTATCATTGATATAAAAATCAGTTGAAGCATGGTGAAAGCTGGGTACAACATGGTACATGAACCCTGTTTACAACAATGCTAAATGGTTACATAACACTGTGGGCCATGACGTCAATAGCCATTTTTCAACACAAATCTATGTGCCACTTCTTTCTTCTTCTGGTATGGTGTTCCGATTTTCACAGTCAGTACATGAACAAGCATCGATGCACTCTAGTCCGGCAAGGAGACAAGGACACTTCCTCGCACTCAAGCAGTCTTTGTCTGTGCAGTAGAGATGTGTCAGGTCTCGAACTTCAACTGGAGCTGATGGCTGAGTGAGGAACAACAACTCCAAGGCTACCGCAAGCCTGCAGAGAAGCCAGAGCCCACTGTAACCTATCAAGTGGAGGATGAAACGTCGGATAAGGTCATAATGAAAGATTTCATATGGCAAGTGGCAAGGACCTGTGGAGATGGTGAATCTAGCATTCCGGCGTGGAGTGGATTCAACGCCCTTGTCAGTACCAAGACTGTCCCCATTACTACGATACGATATCTATACCCTTCATCAATGCCTCACCATCTGACTTGTCAACCATTTTTACTACTTTGTTGAGGCTAGTGCACATATCTGAGGAGTTGGGGCAGCATCATATACTCATTACAGCAGACCTTGCCATCTACAGCAAGGCACAGCATGTTCTATTGTTACTGAATGTATGCGCGTGTCATGCGCAGTTGGTGTTGTATAATAAACGCCACTAGTTGTACGTGGCTCCAGCTAGCCAGACGTCTTGTCTTGTTTGTCCACGTAGAACAGAACACAGCAGATTCTGTGGAGCAGACCGGAACCACTGGTGGGCAAAGTAACGATGAGGCTGGGAGGAATGCATCTGATAATGGCTTTCCTGGCAAGCATTGGCAAGATATTCGGAGATGGTGGACTTACGAACATCCTAACTTCATCAGATGTATACGCAGCTGCCACGGTTAACCAAATGCTCCAAGGAAAGCAGTATGCCCGTGGAATCAGAGGTGTCCGTCTTGCACACGAAGCACTGTCACAGATGTTCCTCACTTCAGCTGAATCCTTTGCCAACAAGAACTGATTGCCATGGCTGCCCAATGAAACCAAGCAGCTAGTACGTGATCTTGAGCAGTCCTTCGAATCCAAAGATGCAAGTGAATGTGCTACCATGGTACAGTTACTGAATGAGAATCACTTGGCAAAAGTGGTACAGAAACGTACAGACTTCTCCACAACCCATCCTTGGATTTGACGTCTGTGACCATTGTGTTCGATCGGTATGATAACGTGTCATCCATCAAGACGACAGAACGCGAGCGGTGGGGTTCTTCCAGTTTGTTACCTACTTATCAGATCCAGGGGAGCAGACAAGTACCTAACTACAGAAAGTTTCTCAAGGGATTCGGAAACAAGGCAAGCCTTGCGAATTACATCTCACAGTATATCTTGGAGAATGCAGGAGAATATGTTCCCAACGACAAATCCATTATCTTGGCAGGAGGATTTAGTGAAGGAACTCTTGTGAAGGTGGTTGCTCCATCTGGAGCGTCATCTGTTGAATCACTGTACAGTAACCAGGAGGAGGCCGATACACGTATGATCCTGCATGCCTGTGCACTATCAAAGAACCATGATAGGATCATGATCCGCTGTGACGACACAGATGTCTTGGTCTTGCTGGTTTACTATGTCAGCAGAGGACAACTGGCTGACTATGTGTACATGTATGCTGGTCATTCAGGAAAGGAAAGATACATTCCTGTTCATACAATTGCGAATGAACTTGGCCCAACAATATGCGAGTGTCTCCCTGCTGCTCATGCCCTCACAGGATGCGACACCACATGTTCAATAAACAGGATAGGAAAGAAAACGGCGTACTCAAAACTGGTGAAACATGCGGACAGTCTGACAAACCTCCAGTCATTCCATGAAGACGACATAAAGGAGAGCATCACGATAGCCCGTAGCTACACACTACTCCTCTACGGGCAGAAGGAAATGGACACACTTGATGAGTTGCGGTACATCATGGCTACAACGACAGACAAGTCTGCATCCATGCTTCCTCCAACAGAAGATGCCTTCTAACAACATGTCCTGCGTGCAAAGTACCAAACACGGATTTGGTGCAGGAGTCACATCCCCAACCAAGAGTTGATCGAACCGGTTGGCCATGGTTGGTTCGCTTGTGATGATGGAGGCATAACACAGACGATGTTCACTCAGCCATCAGCTCCAGTTGAAGTTCGAGACCTGACACATCTCTATTGCACAGACAAAGACTGCTTGAGTGCGAGGAAGTCTCCTTGCCGGACTAGAGTGCATCGACGCTTGTTCATGTACTGACTGTGAAAATCGGAACACCATACCAGAAGAAGGAAGTGGCACATAGATTTGTGTTGAAAAATGGCTATTGACGTCATGGCCCACAGTGTTATGTAACCATTTAGCATTGTTGTAAACAGGGTTCATGCACCATGTTGTACCCAGCCTTCACCATGCTTCAACTGATTTTTATATCAATGATACACCCATACTGATGGATAGGCCTTCAGTCAGGTAGACCTATGATACTGTTGTACCATGTATTGGTGGCAGTATGCATGGAAAAGTTCTTTATTGTGCTCAAAATTATCAAAAATTGCCAGATTTTTTGGTATATTTTTGGGCCCTTAACCCCCTTAACAGCATAGAACTGCCTAAAATGCATTGCTTCATCTATATTTCAATCAAAAACATTGATATAACCATCAGTTCTAAACATCTGCATGGCTGATTTGATAAAATATGCAAGTAAACGGAAAAAGTAGTTTTCAGGTCTGTTGCAAACAAGGGGTTAATGTACCATGTTGTACCCGTTTACCATGCTGAAACTAATTTTTTTTATCAATATCACATC